CACCAGGGCTCCTAGTAAAGAAATAACATGGTCAAATTTCAATTTTAGAACAATAAACTCTGTGACAGTGTAGAGGGTGGCTCAGGGGAGAAAAAAATAGACACAGAGACTCCAGCTTTTTGTCCCAAGATTCTGAAATTTGGGAACTCCCAGTTCATACCCTAAGTTCCTGGTGTATTCCCTCTGAGCCTCCTACACTAATTCTCTCACTTGATATACATGCAGCATCATTTCTAAGCTGTTTATCAAGTTAATTGTCTTTTTTTCTGGGCATTTCTTAATACGTGGTGATCTGTCACATATAGTATTTAGGTGTGGGAAGGCTATACCAATGCTTTTTGATTGATTTTTGTGTGTGGGTGCTTTAGGTGAAAGTTTATAGAGCAAATTAGTTTTCCATTTGATAGTTTGTACATACAGTGTTCCATGATCTTGGTTTTATTCCCCACAATGTTTCAGCACTCTCCTCTTTCTTGTCCTGGTTTCCACATTTCTTTCATCCTGATTTTCTACCCCTTCCTGCCTTCTCATCTTTGCTTTTGGGTAAATAACACCCTTTTGGTCTTGTATATTTGATTGTTCTAAGGAGTATGTTCCTCTTGAGTGTTATCGTTTATCTTATGTGCTTGTCTATTGTTTGACTGGGAGGTGGTCTCCAGGAATGGCTTCCTTTCCAGGTCAGAAGGGTGTCTTCTAGGGCCATAGTCTTGGGGTTCCTCCAGTCTCTGTCAGGCCAGCAAGCTTGGTCTTTTTTGTGAATTTGATTTTTTGTTCTGTAATTTTCTCCCGATCTGTCCAGGAAGAGCATCTGACTGATTTTTAATGCTCTTCTCCTTGATGCCTTGTATTTTACTGGTCTTTTTGTTTAATGTTATGAATTGGTTCCTATGAGGCAATCATAAATCCTATGGATTGGACAGCCTTCATTTACTATACTTTTAATCTAGATGGGAAAAATCCATTTAACAGGCATTTACTGTATACCTGCCTTCTGCCAGGCATGTGCATGGTCCTAAAATTTAAAGATAAACAAAGACTGTCTCTTCCCTCAAGGAATTCACAGTCTAGTTGGAAAGTCTGAAGAATTAAAAAAAAAAAAAAAAGACATAAATGCATATAAACCAAAAAAAAAACCAAACCTGTTGTCATCGAATAACCCTATAGGATGGAGTAGAACTGCCTCATAGGGTTTCCAAGGTTGTAAATCTTTAGGGAAGCAGATCTTTCATCCCATGGAGATCTGCCACATCTTTCTCCCATGGAGCAGCTGTTGGGTTCGAACTACCGACCTTCCGGTTAGCAGCTGAGTGCTTAACCTCTGCACCACCAGGGCTCCTATAAATGCTCATAAAACAAAAAAATCAAATCTGTTGCCGTCAAGTCCGTTCTGACTCATAGCAACCCTATAGGACAGAGTAGAACTGCCCCATAGGGTTTCCAAGGAGCAGCTGGTGGATTTGAACTGCTGACCTTTTGGTTAGCAGCCAAGTTCTTAACCACTGGGCTACCAGGGGCCCATAAATGCTTATAGAGGTTGAATATTCTATCACACAGGAAGGCACAACTAATTTTTGTGGGCTATCAAAAAGGATCAGAAAATCTTCCTTTCAATCTATATGAAAGTATAATTTCCAACTCTTTTTGCAACATCTGACAAAAATAAAATAACAAGAAGGTACAAGGCTGTAATTGCCTTTGAGCTCCAGTTCAATTTAAGCCATGTCCTCTTAACATCTTTCTTGTAATTCATTAGCTATTTTTAACTGCCAGAGAGTTTGTAATGTTTTCCTTTTCTTTGAAAATCCCCCCAATGCTCTGGTCTCTTGACCTGCAGCAGTCCAACATGACTTTTCTGTAAATAGCATTTTTTATTTAAACATATTAATCTCATACAGTGGCATCACACTTAGTTTCTGCTTTGCTCTTGTGGAAGATAAGTCTTTTAAGAAGAGCCTAGGAGCGCAGCATGAATTTCATGACCTGCATTTCTTAGTAGCTACTTTGCCTTTAGCATCTTTCCTGCTTGATGAGTTGATAAAACCTTGTCCTAGTTTCTTGAACCTATTTTGTAGCAATAATTCAGCCTGCATTTTCTCTTCTCTCATTGTTTCCTTGACGTTTAAAACTGTTTGGTACATTTATGTTTGCTTTTCTGTAGTTTTCAATTCCAGGGAAGATTTCCCTAGTCAGTCTCTTAATAAGTCTTCAGTAGCCAGAGATGGCTATTGACTTTCTTTTTATAACCAGGAATTATAAGCCAATAAATTGATGTCTCAACACATCCTCCCTCTTGTGGGTATTTTCTCGTTGTTCTGAGCTTGATGTTTCCATTTCTTATGCTGTAGTACTGCCTTAGACATCTGATACCATCTCTACGTTTTGATTTATTTCATATCACTTTCTACTTTCCAGGATTGTAGAGTTGTCTTCTGATTTACTGGCTTACCTGGGTGATTCACTGTTTAGGTAAATTTTTCAGAAACATGTTAGGATAATTTAAGAACCTGAAAAGCCCATCTAAGTTGAACGTCAACACTTTTTCTTTCCTTAACATTCAACAGGGTTACAAAAGTACACTTGACTTCGACAACTCTTGTATATTTCCACTCTTCTTAAAGGACTTGTATTGCGTATACTTCACTGAAAATTTCCTCTACCATTGCTGTGTTGCCAAAATCTATTATCATGTAATCTATGACAGAAGAGAAATCTAAAAGTAGTGGCTCCTGCTTCGGAAAAACAAACACTATCTGGAAGGTCATCACTTCTGCTTAAAAAATATTTTGAAGTTTTTCAAGCCACTCGTTTATTTTATTTTATTTTTTAGGTTATAAATATAACACATGCCTATTATAGAAAATTTTGAGAACATAGAAAAGCATAAAGAAGAAAAATGCAAACAGTCAGTAATTCTACCACCAGTAAGGCCACCTGTTATTTCTGTGCAACTCTAAATTTTCTTGAAGCCTTAGTCTAGAAACCTCCTACCCTTTTCTAACTCCTCCTCCTTAATAGGCTGTCCAGGACATTCAGAGTAGAAGACTGACTTTAAATACAAGGGTCCCTAGGATTTTTTTATGGAAGGGATGGAGCTGTAGGAAAAACCTACAAATAGCTCCAGAGATGACATCTTGTTCTTATTTAGCTTTCTTTGAGTCATTAACAGTCGGGCGCCACTGGTACTGAAACTTATCATTATTATAACCGCAAATGGGTTAATGCCCAAACAAGCTATATTCTTGGGGCTGGTTCCCAGCTCCACTACACAGAGCCCAACAGCAGTACCCTCCAAGTCCCAGGATAATGCTCCACAAATAAGAGGATGTCAAATGTTCACCCTGCACTCAAAATTCTCTTCTTTTATCTGGGAGCTTCCTGCTGCTGGAAGGGCAAAGCAAAAGGGGGAAAAAAATAAAAGCCAAGCCAACAAACCCTAAAAAAAGAGGCTATGCGGTTTAGTGGTCAGACCACAAGCCTGGATGTTGGGATAGCTGAGATCTAGTCTCAATTCTCTACTGATTGGCTAGACAAATTACTTTCCTGACTTGTGCCTCAGTTTCCCCCCTTAGATAGAAGTGCCTTAGAAAGTTTTTATGAGGGCAGATGAAATTATTTGCAAACAGCTTCAGGTTTCTTAGGAATAAAATAAAATTATTCTTAATAATTACTATTCTATTATTTTATTAATACAGTGATAAGCCACAGATGCAAAACTTATGAAACTTCCATTCCCTTAAGAAACAGTTGCATTTGGGAGGAGGGGGGAAGAAGAGGGCAAATGTTTTTATCAAATTTGCAGGACTTCACATCAAATACCAAATTACTAAATTCATTATCTCAAGATACTAAACACTGCTCCTAGTTTGGCTCTGTCCTTCATTCTTACCACATCCAAACTCAGAGTGACTCAGAGGAGTCTAGAAGTGAGACACATACACAATTTTAAGGGAAAGGGAGAATTAGGAGGTTTGAGGCTCCTTGCTGGAGGAGGCTAAGAATAGGCCACCCAAAACACAAAGACGAGAACCTTCTCTTTCCTTTTCCTACCAGTGTAGGTGGTCCACTGGTTTTCCAGTACTCCTTTGATAGCCTTTTTTTTTTTTTTTTTACTCCCCCCTCCTACAAAACCTCACCTTGTTTCAGGGTGTGCCAGTTTATCTGACTTTGCCAGTAGCTAAAGAAGTGAGGACAGAGTGGCTTTTTCTACTAGATTTGAGCTGTGACAAATGCTACAGACCTCTGATCTGTTGCTAGGAGTGGAGGAGAGGCGCAAAAAGAGAGATACTTGGGAACTTGAAAACAAGGAATAGTAGCCCCTCTTAAAGGAGAAATGAGCAATTAGTAACATGGGGTGGGGGGTGGGGTGCCCAACAGATGTTCTGTTTGTGCACTCCTCCTCTCAAGCGAAGTGTCTAAGTGAGAAAAAGAAAATAATCTTGGGAAGTGTATCAAATAGTAAGGGCTGGGAGTTGAAGGAGGGACTAAAGATAAAGAGGAATTTGAGAGGAAATGTCAATTAACGCATCAAAGATTTATTGAACACCTGTGTGTTCCGCCCCTCGGCAGACAGAAAAGCCCCATACCTGACCTCAAGGAGCAGCCAAGATATACTCACGTGAAAGTGCTTTGTAACAATTTAAGACAATAAATAAAAAGGGAATAAAAACAGATAATGTTTATGAGAGTTCAGGGGTAGGAACTATTACTGTGAGTTAGTATAACAGCTGGAAAAAGTAGTTACGAGATACTGAAATTGCGGATATCGAGGATTGACATTAATTCTTCGACACCGGGAAATATGACGGATTCAAAAGAATTCACCACAGGTTCCTCTGTAACCAACTCCTCAGGAACAGGAGTCCAAAAAAACCTCGACGGCGGCAAAGCGACTGCCCCCGGAACTTGTGTGCCCAGCTTGGCGGTGCGGTACGGAGATTGTTTGCGTAACACCCCTCCACCTCCCACCTCTCCTCCCGCCGCGTGGGTGCCATGGCAACCGAGAAAGACGGCAACCTAGGTTCCGGAAGCCGGGGAGTTGGAGCTCAGAAGGTCTGCCTGCCAAAGGATGCTGAGTCCGGAGCGCTTAGCCCTGCCGGACTACGAGTATCTGGGTAGGCGCTTCCTTCATCTTTGGGGAAGGAAAGAAATGAAGAGGAATTAGGCCGGGGTCTGGGGAGGAGGCAGGGGCGGAGTCTGAATGGGAACCGGTGGGAATGAGATAGGGAAGGGCGAGGAGGGGCTGTTCCAGGGCCTGAGGCGTGTAAGGCCCAGCAAAGAGGTAAAAAAGGATCTGGGAAGTAAAGAATGTCGAAGTGTATGGGCTGGAGCCCGGGCAGTGTGGCTTGTGTTCAAAGTGGGGCAGATTGGAGTTGAGAATTTGGGGCCCTGTTGAGGTATTGTTGATATGCGGGCGGCGGAGTAACCTTGGAACCTGAACTGCCAAATCAGTCATTCCATGAATAATCGTTTCACCGTTACAGCGGCCTGATTACATTCCTTATCTGAATCTTCATAACAGCGCTAAGCAGGAATTACTATGTTTTCTTCCGTTTTGCAGATGGAGACACTGAGACTGAGGAGGTAATTTGCATAATAAGGCCTCACAACTAGAAAACGGTAGAGCTAGGATCAGAACCTGGATTTACCCACTCCAGAACTTGAGCTTTTGACCACTAAGGCTGTAGTACTTTATTGACACCTTCAGCGTGTAAGGCATTTATTAGATGAAACCACACACACATATTTTCAAAAAATGAAAATTCTGGTTTAGAATTTTGAATTAGTAATATGAAAACTTGATTAAAAAATTTTAAGAAAATATAAAGAGGTTTACAGTGCAAAGTCCTCTCCCAACTCTTTCCCCTGTCTGCCCAGTTCCCATCCATCCCTTCCACCATACACGTGACCACTGTTACTGATTTCCTGTGTATTCTTCCAGAGTTTATTTTGTTATGCACGTAAGGGAGCATACAGTGTACACTTTTTCACTTAATATATTATGAAGAACTTTTATATCAATAGAGAGCTTCTTCCTTCTGTCACTCATTCTCTCTTTCTCTTTAGCTACGTAGTATTTAAGTAATTTGCTTAACCAATTCCCTGTTGATAGATAATGAGTTGTTTTCAGCCTTTTGCTGTTACTAAAAATGCTGCAATTAATGACCTGCAGTTTTGTTCCTTTGCAAGTATAAGTGCAAGGATAAATTCCACAAAGTGGAAGTGGTGGGTCAAAGGGCATATGCATTTGAAATACTGATATTACCAAATTACCCTTCATAGGGGTTGTACCTTTTTACACTGCCACCAGCAATGAAAGAGCATGCCTGTTTCCTCATAGTCTTGCTAACCAAATATTTCAAACTTTTGGATGTTTTCAAATGGTTAAGTGACAAATGGTATCTCAGGGAAGATTTAATGTGTGTTTCTCTTATGAATGAAGTTGAGCATCTTTTCACAAGTTTATGTGTTATTTTGTTTTTGAAAGGTATATATATATATATATATATATATATAGATAGATAGATAAGAGAGTGACTACATCCATTAATTAGCCAAAGGTGATACTTATATCACAGATAATTTTGTATTTAAAGAACAACGTCAGTATTTAGCAATATCTAGACATTTCCTAAGGATTTTATGTACTTTATCTCATTTACTCAGTACTCAATGAATCTATGAAGTGTTTGAAAAGCCGAGTTTATTGTTCAGTTCTTTAGGTATTTGCCGATTGAATTATACGTCTCAAAGGCTTCACATATTTGGTGTAATGGTGCTTTTGGTGAGAAGTTTGAGGTTCTTCTGTAAGTGGCTTTTTCAAGAAGACTAAATCAGTGGTGAAGTTGTTAATGAATCTACAGTCAGAGGATCAAAGATTGAAAAGGCTTCAGTGTTCATGGAATCCAACCATCCACCTAATGCTTGAACCTCTGACAAGTGCTCCTGAAAGTGCTGTTGCATATTTAAGTGCCTTGACTTCCTGTCCTAACCACTATCTGGACATTCATGCTGCCATAAATGGGCTCACACTACTCACTGGCTTCCTCATTTCTGCTGAAATGCCTCTGTCTTTAGTTGAGAACAACACTTGCCCATTACAATTTGGTCTCCCTTAGCATTCCCCTCACCATTTAAAATCACTCCCTATAGATTAATTTAATAAAATATTTCCTGATTTAAACTTTTAATCACCTATAGCTTCATTCTTTAATGTTTTTTAAATATAAATTATAAAGGTGCTTGCATGTGTAGGCTTAGAGAAGAGAATACATACAGAGAAAAAAGAAATTGCAGAGAACAGGAAAGCCTTAGGGATACAGTAAAACAGAAAGGCCAAAACTGAGTACCTCTCAGTAAGTGTGTCCAGAAACTTCTTTTAGTATTATGATGTAAATTACAAGGATTCTTATTCAATGATTATCTATAGATTTCCCTTTCTACCTGCTAGCCAAGAATTAAGGAGCCCTGGTGACACAGTGGTTAAGAGCCATGGTGAGCTATGGCTGCTAACCAAAAGGTCGACAGTTCGAATCCACCAGCTGCTCCTTGGAAACCCTATGGGGCAGTTCTACCCTCTCCTGTAGGGTCACTATGAGTAGGAATCGACTCGACGGCAATGGGTTTGGTTTGGTTTTGGTTTGGGTGGCACAGTGGTTAAGCACTGGGCTGCTAACCAAAAGGTCGGCAGTTTGAACCCACCAGCTGCTCTGTGGGAGAAAGATCTGGCAGTCTGCTTCGGTAAAGATTTATAGCCTTGGAAACCCTATGGGGCAGTTCTACTCTGTGCTACAGTGTCACTGTGAGTCAGAATTGACTCGAAGGCAGTTGTTGGTTTTGGAGCCAGGAATTGTGTTTGTGTTTTTGACTATCAGTGAAGAAAACAATCTTTCATCATATTGGGTAAACTGATCCTTTCTTCACTGGCTGTGTGGATTGTTGTTGTTGTTAGGTGCCATTGAGTTGGTTTGGATTCATAGCAACCCTGTGTACAACAGAATGAAACACTGCCGTGTCCTGGGCCATCCTAACAGTCGTTGCTATGTTTGAGCCCATTGTTGCAGCCACTGTGTCGGTCCATTGTTGAGGGTCTTCCTCTTTTTTGCTGACCCTCTGCTTCACCTAGCATGATGTCCTTCTCCAGGAGCTGGTCCCTCCTGATAACATGTGCAAAGTATCTGAGATGAAATCTCACCATTCTCGCTTCTAAGGAGCATTCTGACTGTACTTCTTCCAAGATAGATTTGTTCGTTCTTCTGGCAGTCCATGGTATATTCAATATTCTTCACCAGCACCATAATTCAAATGCATCAGTTGTTTTTCTGTCTCCTTATTCATTGTCCAGTTCTCGCATGCATATGGGGCGATTGAAAATACCATGGCTTGGATCAGATGCACCTTAGTTCCTGAAGTGACGTCTTTGCTTTTTAACACTTTAAAGAGGCCTTTGGCAGCAGATTTGCCCAGTGTAATATGTCTTTTGATTTCTCGACTACTGCTTCCATGGATGTTGATTGGGTGACTGTGCCGTATTTGAAATACCAGTGGCATAGCTTCCAGCATCACAGTAACACACAAGCCACCACAGTATGACAGACAAACTGACAGACAAGTGGTGGCTTTGTGGATTAGGAACCTGTAATCATGGCCTGGAGTGGCTCAGGATCTTAAGGTAATCATTAAAGAATCAACTGAATGATGTTCATGCCTGTCGCCATCAGAATGTAGTGATAGAAATTGTGTTAATGCGCAGCCCAAAGAGAAAGGAGAATCTAGTAAGGAAATGAAATAAATATAGAACCCTCTGTAGAAGACCCAAAGATTTCCATCCTTATAAAAGCTACTTATTGGAAACTTCTGCCAGAGGCCGAGATGTGTCTGTGTATGTGGCTGGGTGTGGAGAGCTTTCTAGAGCCGAAGGGCAGTCTGTTCTGGTCCCGGGTTTGCAAAACACACCATCTACGTGCTGACCTGAGTATAAGCATGAGGGTGTGAGGTTTATTTTCTACTCCACCTAGTTTGGTGAGTGCAGACTTTTCTCTCAGGCTCCACTTTGCCTCTTCTATTACTGTGAAACTTGTTTATTTTCACTAAGGTTGGTAGTGGCTTGTGATAATAGATAACTCTAGGAAATCAGATATGGTCTTTCTCCTTTGGGTACTATGCTTTTGGAGAAATCCTCAATAAATTGGATAGTACTTTTTAAAAAAAGTTACAGATTTTGAGCATTTCCTATATGCTTAGCAGTGTACTAAGTGCTTTATATGCCTAATGTCGTTTAATCTCTACAACCACCTTATGAAGTAGGTACTGTTATCAGTTCCATTTAGTAGTTATTAATATTATCTTCTCATTTTACAAATAAGAAACTGAGGCTTAGAGAGGCTAACTGATATGTACAGGAGGCCTCGCAGGTGATAATACGTAGCAAAGTAGGAATTCAAACCTAGGTTTGTCTGATTCTGTAGCCTGTGTTTTTTCCTTTCTACCAAAAAGATCAACAACAAACAAACAAAAAACAGCTATTGCTACAAAGGGCAGTGATCATTCTTCCCTGTTAAGGATAAAACTCTTGAATAGTTCATTAATTGCAAATAAGTTTACTGGGAACAGGAATTATGCCTTACTCATCTTTGTATATCTTCCTTTCACAATGTAGGCATGTGATAGATAGATAGATGTTAAATTCAATCTGAATTCATCTTTAAAACCAATGCAACTTTAGGGTACTCCAAATGTAAGTAGCTAAGAGCAACAACTAAGACTTCCTAAACACTTTCTATGTACGAGGTACCATTTTAAGCGCTTTATATATATTAATGCATACGAGGATAGCTTTAATCATTCTCTCCATTTCACACACGAGGAAACTGCAGCACAAAAAGATTGAATAACTATTGGTAAGTGATGGAGCCAGACTTCTAATCTAGCAGTGTAACTCCAGAGTCCACATTATTAAACTCTATGCTGTAAATACCTTGAACAATCCAAAAATGAGCCTCCAACTATTGAATAGACCTATACATGGGTCCTGGAATAAGTTCAGGTGACTCCAAGGACTTCATTTAACATTTCTGCCAGGAGGGGGCATCCTGGGAATCAGTATGGATCAGGG